TGAAGATTCGAGAAGGTGGGGAGGGATTCGAACTACATGGTTGATAGATTTGGGTTCAGGATGACAAGGGCGTTCTAGGGTGTTAAGGGGAAGGTCACCGGAGTTCATGNGTAGGCGGATCTCGACCGTTAGATCAATTTAGATCTACGGTCTGGATCTGATGGCTTAAGTGGAACGGTGTCGTTTCGAGGGTAAGGGGTTTGGGTTGGTCCGGGTGGAAACGGGTCGGGTTTGTTGGTGGGTTACGGGGAATTGATCTTGGCCGTTGATCAATTTGAGATCAACGGCCCAGACCACACTGGATTAAAACGGTGTCGTTTAGACACCCTGGGCATCCACTGGTGTTGGACCGGGCAGGCCTGGGTTTTGGGCTGTTTGTTTTGGGCCAATTTATTTAATAAATTGGCCCAATCCGGAAGAAGAAAGGGCCCTTTTCTCTTTTTTTTATTTGTTTTCTTATTCATTTTAAAAACAAAACTAAGCAAAAAAAATCAAATTAAAATTAAATACACACTCAATACAATTATTTGCACACACACTAAAGATATTTCAAAACAGGTAAAATCAAACAAAACAAAATCACGGACAAAGAGGCCTGTTTATGCCTTTCTATTTAAACCATGTTACGGTTCAGATTATGCATGACACGTACACATTTTTTGAATTTTGTTTTAATAAAGTAAATAAATAAAAATGGGCCAAGGTCACAAATAAATCAACAAAGTGCCGCACAGAAATCCAAAATTGTACAGCAGGATCAATTTTTATTCTTTTGGAGCTACTGTCGCGCAAAAAACAAAAATCACGTGCTCACAGGTACAATATTTCCAAAATTAATGGAAACTAACTTTTCATTAATATAGAACAAATATATAACAAAACTTCAGCTCTAGAGCTGAAGTTCCCCAGTTACAAAGACAAAAACTTCAGCTCTAGAGCTGAAGTTCCCCAGTTACAAAGACAAAAACTTCAGCTCTAGAGCTGAAGTTCGTCAGTTACAAAAATAAAAATTTTAGCTCTAGAGCTGAAGTTCGCCAGTTACAAAACAAAAACTTCAGCTCTAGAGCTGAACTTCAGGTCCGGCTACTAGAATGCTGATGTTTTGCGTGACTGCCTTTGCTACTTCAGCCCTGTATGCTGAAGTTATGCGAAAAAACGGGTTCGCTTGCAATTTTTTTACAAAGCGAGCACAAGTTAAAACGTGACACAAAAAGCGAGTATAGATGCAAATGCTCCTTACCCGAATTCAAGAATTAGACCAGGAAAAGGTCCAATTAGAGCTGAGTTTCGTTTAGTGATATAGAGTAGGCCACGTATAGCAAAAATTTGTAAAAATAGCACAATATAGCCAGTTTTCGGACTAGTCATTCAAAAATAGCCAGCGTTTACGAAGTCAATGAAAATTAGCCACTATTTTGCTGCAACAGAGACCGGTCCATCATAATATACTGGATTCTGGTGCACCTGTGTATGAACTCCAGCATATTATGCTGGATCGGTATACTTTGCTGACTCTAGTATAATATATTGGAGACTGGAGCACCGGTGCTCCAAACTCCAATATATTATACTGGACAATTATACTTGCTGGAACTCCAGTATATTGTGTTGGAGTTCCAACATACTTATCCTAGAACTCCAGTATAATATGCTGGAGTTCAAGCATACTTATGCTGGAACTCCAGTATAATATACTGGCGTATTTTTCGAGTTTTGAACAGTGTTTTCGCTCAGATTTATCTTTACATGAAAAGTGGCTAAATCTCGATTACTTTTAAAATTGGGCTATTTTTGAACGACCAGTTGTAAATCTGGCTATTTTTAAATTTCTCCCCAAAAATTTTGAGTCGGCCGCATAACAAATTAAAATTGTCAAAATCATCAGGACCCCTTAGGCCCAAGCCCAATAAGCCCAAACAGCGTGAGGGAGGGAATTTCCCTCCACCGCCATGGCAGCTCGTTTCGCGAGATCGGTCGGAGTTTTATCGTCCTCAGTCGCTCTTAGATCGGCGGCCAGAATTGAAACCTTCAGCCATGGTGCGTTTAAGCTACGATGTTCATCTTATTCTTCCTCTTCTGATAGTGAATTTCCTAAGCCTACTAAGAAAATCACCGATCGTCTCTCCGGCGTTATCGACTCCGTCAACGACCGTAAGCTTCCGCCTGAACTTCGTGGTCAACGTAACTCCGTTAGGTAATATTTTTACTTAACTTTCGTATTCACTGGCGTATTCTACGTAGAAAAATGGCAATTGAAATATTGCTTTGTGTAGTAAGTGAATTCATTTCTACTAGCTCCTTGTATTAGTTGATGATTGGATATTGGAAGCTTGTGATTTTTACGGGATAATAATAAGTGCAACTCGTTTGTGTTGCAGATTATAGTTTCCGTCACCTAGTATTTGAGAAAATGATATAATGTGTTAATACGGCTGCTAGGATAATATGTTGAATTTTGTGCATGAATTGCTATAACAAAAAAATTCGGTGATGTTGATTTAAGTTTCCACCTCTGTTTGTTAAAAAGGGGAGAACTTATGATCTTAATGCTATGACTGGTGTGGTGTGTGCCAGAATACGTTCTTAGTATATAACTTCATTTGTCATGGAAAAATAGTCAGAAGAATGTTCTTTTAATTCATGAAAGTATGTTGCATGATTCTCTAGCTTTGGCTTAGTTACTATTGCTGTTTTTGGCTGGAGCATCTGCATTTGTGGTTAATAGGATTCTGATTTATCCTGAGTGTTAAGAGACAATCGTACAGTTTTTATTTTGGAAAATTTCTTAATGAAATTCTGGTTTTTAATCTTGAATGACCATTGGTCAGGTCAGAAACTGATATTATAAATGTTGTTGAACAACGAATATGGCATTCCATGGAAGAAGGGCAATTTGAGAACTTGCCAGGGAAGGGAAAACCCTTGGACCTCAATACTAATCCTCATGTTGATCCAGCTGAAGATACCTTGTATAGGATTCTCTCCAGAAATAAATGTGCACCTGAGTGGGTTGAATTGAACAAAGAAATAAGAAGTAATGTAGTTGATTGGAGATCAGCACTTAAAAAGGCATGGACACATAAAGACACTGTCGGTGATTCTAAATGGATCGAGGCATCCGAGTCTCTAAAGCTGCAGATGCGTGACATCAATAACAAGGTGAGCAGAGTGAGGAACTGATTTACTTTTCAATTAGCTTTTAGGTTCCTTTTTTCCCCTATTCCATGTATGGTGAACTGCTACTCCTTTACCCCGTTTTTATTGTCAAAGTATGTCCGGTATTTTCTGCGTGCACATAGATGCATCTGGATTTTCCATATTTGATGCTTTATCAGATTTTATACCCTTTTATGCGAGATGGTTGAGCTAGGGTACTAGCGTCAAAATTTGTTAAGCTTTGATGGACAAAGTCACTAAAGATTCATAACAGCCATGCCCATTTAGAAAAAGAACTCTCTTCAGGTTTTCTGGTTGAGGGATGGTCACCTAGCTGGATACATGAGATGAACTGTTTACTGTCCTTCGACAACTAAGTAGAAGGTTTTGGAAAAATGAGATAACGATCCATGCAGATATATTGCATATGGGTTGAACCTTTCTTCAATTTTATCCCCTAGGATGATTTTTGCAGCTATATCTTTCTAAATGTTTGGTTGAGAAAAACAATTTGGTTTTTGGTTTTGGTTTAGGGATCTCTAGTTTTTTGGGTCTGATTCTTTAAAACAACCTACAGATTTGGATTTAGTTTAGTTAGCAAATCAGTTGTGTTGAAAAAACATCACTTAAACATGTTAAAGACATAATTAAGTAAATAAAAGTGTGCTTCTCTAACAATTTAAGCTTTTGTATGAGATAGTCACACGGTTCGACGTAGTATCAGAGTAGGCAGAAGTCTTTGGTTCAAGTCTCATCGCCACCTATTATCAAAACTGAAAAAGAATCAGGCCTGCACGTGAAGGGGTGTTTTGAAGGTTTAATTAAGTAAATTAAATGTGCTCTCTCTAACGCCTTAAGTTTTTAGATGAGATGATCACACATTTCAACAAAGCTTAAAACTTTATTAGTCACTTTCGTATAGGTGAAACTTAATAGATCAAAACTGTCTTAAGACATATTTAAATGCTACTAAATGTGTTTCATTATAATGGAAAGAAAAGGAAATGGTTAAAAGGAGAAAAGAATTGTTGGTTACTTCTGACACTGGCCCTTTGTTTCAGCCAAAGCTGGACCTTGAGCTGCTCTTTGGTCGTGGTTTTGTTTCTCAAAACCAACTTGTGTTGGTTCTGGAAAACACATTTTTCAAATTCGTCTAGAAAATTGTTTGGCTGGCTCATTTTGGAATTGTTGAGGTTTAGCATAGTAAATTAGAGCTGCTACTAATACATGGGTGTTGGTGCAGGTTTTCCGATACAACCTCATTGTCCCCTTTGGCCGCCAAATGTTTGTACTCAAGTGGGAGAAGGAAATTGACAGACTGAACGAGGAACGTACAGGGAGCTGAAAATTCTCTGGGTCTTGTTGCTGGTGCAGTCTTTCACTTGAGGGTGGAACTTCTATAGACAAGGGTGGTTTCTTATGTTCTTGCTTCTTGTTCTCTTCTTTGTAGCTCCTAATCAGTGTTGTGAATTGAGGGTTCTCAGTTTGTTGGCTTTCTGGTGTAGCCACTGTAGTCTCTGTCTTATAAGTTTGATCAAAGGTTTAATAACATTCCTATAGCATCTCGCTCCACTCGATACAACAGCAGAAGTTTGAAAACTGAATAGGAAAGGTATGGCTGTTATTTTGTTTCTGTTTGGACGTTTCTGTGCAGTGCCAGGTGGTTTGAGCTCCTTTTTGTTGGCTCCAACTCTTCGTCTTTAACCACTAACCTTTGTACTTGGATGGTCATTACTTTTTGATAATACAATGAGAAACCTATAAAGCGTATAGGGGATCAAAAATTGAAGGATGACTGTGAAAAAGATATAAAGCGTTTTGCTCTATGTTTTCATCATCGATTGATCAATAAGTTTCAAACAGTTTGTTGGCATTGTCGGGATATTTTTTCTTTTTCATCAATTTTTTTTTACATATTTAGAGTAGTTTGGGTCGATGTTGATTGTTGATTACTGGTGAAGGAAAGTATAGGGAAGACAGCTGCAGGACGTCTCTGTGAAGGAGGAAAGAGCAAAGTTCGATTTTAATAGCCCCAACATATTCACAGGATGACTGAACAAAAATGTAGATGATAAGATGCGTAGCCATCGCAACATTAGTTGAGGTTAGAAATGATCACTTCAGACCGAAGGTCAGCTTATAAATATGTTATATAGGTGCACCATGATAACTGGAGGTGTTAGAACAAGATCAAATAGACTTAAAATCAAACGAAATAAGTTGTCGGAAGACCTGCAATCTCTCAAAATTCATGTGAACTTTGATAAACACATTAGAAATGAAAATAGACGCGCCATACGGGCGATACGAAATACAAACAAATTGAGTTTAAAGTAGTCATGACAGTACATTTACATGAAGTATTTGCTAGTACTAGAAATACTTCTTAATCAGTTTAGAGATATGTATACAATCAGAAATCGCTGAAAACATCTGCTGCTAGATAACCTGAATCTAATACTGATAACAGAATGAAGTCAAAATGAGTCAAATAGATGGTTGAAATTCAAGCGGATTGCAACTAACTAGACATTTAAGACATAGCAATTGTTTGGAGGGAGGGTAAAGGCGGGGGAGAAACGCGAGTTGTCATATCATTTCTCTATCCCATGGTGCATTGTTCACTGGTAAAGGTGGTAAAAACGAAAAGGCCTGCACCTTCAGTAGTTACTTTCATAAGAATCAAAACGAGTAACTACCCATGGTTGAAATCTTATGGTAAAAATGCAATTCTAACAACAAATTTCATGCCTCTGAACTGAGTAGTGAACATTAAGCCGTATCTCTTCCTCTTTCCCTACAAAGATTATTAAGCCAGATGAGGCATGAGGAATTGGCATACAAAAGCCTGTCTGTGTTAGAGCGTAAGCATGATAAGTGACAGATATTTCAATGACAATTAGTTCAATTTGTCCCTGTAGAAACTTGCAGTGAGCCTGAAGTTGATCCCAAAATTACATCTGGAGAATATTTACACTCTATGGTTTCAATAACGAGCTGCCAAAGCTGTAATATCCATGTATCAAATCATTCAAGCAGCAAAAGATGACTTAGCAGCAAGATGTGTGAGGGAACGTCTGTGGTAACTGCATCCCAGTTTTTTGTACTTCTGCACGAATGTTGTAAGATCAATTTCTCGATCAAGAAGCTGGCCAAGCATGGCTTCAGATTCCTCCTCTGTTTTCTTCATGGCATCTGTAGCAATAGCAACATCAGTTAACAGTCTTTTCTCTGGCAAGTCTGATTTTTCAGCTATCTAATCCCATCACTGAGTAACTGAAGTTCCTTAATTACTATAATCCAGCTTTTTATTCACATAATCATTTAGGAAGTTGTGCGGTGGAAAGAGGCATCTAATAGAAACTTCAAATTGGAAATTCTTTGTTGATCTACAAATCAATCCCCTTATTCCCCAACATAACACCACTACCAAGAACAAAGTAACAATGTGAACTAAATTGAGCATAAGCTATTAAGCTAAAATTCCCGATCCTACATATAGTTGCTCACATTACGTGGAACTTCTGCAAGAAGAGAGAAAAAGTTTCATTGCCAAATTAAAACCCAATAATCTTAAGATGATCCTTAATATATCTGAGTGTTATACAGGGTGTTCGCATCTACCCATCCTTTTCCAGGTGATATCAGCTAGAGCAGGCAAAAAGAATGTTAGCAATTTTGAACTTCCTTAAAAAAGAATGTTAGCAATTTTGATTCAGTCACCCTTCATTAGCAGCTTAAATCATCACTGATAGGGCAATTTAGGTTTGCGAACCGCCATAGCAAAAATTTCAAAGCTATTTGGAGTTGGCAAATGTAGACCCATTTTAACAGTTGAAATGCTTTGCCCAAAAAGAAAGAAAAAAGAGTTGAACTGAGCTCCTGATGAAGAACGGATAGCATTGAGGTGTAGAAAAGAAAAAAAGTTTGAACCAAGCAGAATACTCGGACACAATCTGATGATAACATTCATATGGATGGAATTTGTTCATTAGGACATAATAAAAATGCTGTAGAGTGTACTACTCTAAAAAGTATTTGAATATTGGAGTAGAGTGAAAACTTATCGAGAGAAACTAAAGGTTTTGCAAGAGGTTGAGGAAAATAAGCATATTGTTAAAGTAGATCAAGAGGGCACCAATGAAGAATGCACATAATAATGCAGTACTGACATATACTGGTCGCGTTGTGCATATTATTAAGGTCCAATTTGGATATTTCTTTTTCATAAAGGTGGTGTTCGGGCCATCTCGCGCACACCTCAACCTGCTATCTCCCACCTAACGCTGCCTACTAAGGGTTAGCCAGATAGAAAAACTACCTAGCGTTTCTTGTCTCTGCAGGGATTTAAACCCTGATCTCCCATGATTTTTTGTTTTAATTAAAGACGAAGCCTAGCATATGAACTGGTTATGAAGAAATACAAAACATACACGCGCTATTGAATTATGACTATTTTGTGGAGCTCTAGCAGAAAGCCCTAGAGGATTTAGAAGAACATTACGCAATTTCAGATATATCATGCAACATAACCGAGTCAACAAAGCACTCTCTATGTCAAGCTCTTACTATGTCTAGACCTGAAAAGTTTATTTCGACCGGTCTAATTTAAATGCTGACTTGACTCCTACCGGGCTGTTCACTCAATGTGTTGAAGTGAAAGCCTCATGAGAATAGTACCCTAAAAGTATGCTATAGCCCTGTTAATCTAAGCTTAGTTCAAATTATTTTACCTATGCATAAAGAATAACGAAGAAGCAAAAAGAAGCAAAAAAGTATACAAGTTTATGTGCTTCCACTATTTACCTTGTAGGTGATGGAGGAGAGATAAAGGGGAGTACAACTTCAGAAGCTCTTCTTTTCTCCTTTCTAGCTCATGCAGCTTTTCTTGAGCAGCAGCCAATTCAGTTGTGCGGATGATTCTACACTGTAAACAAAAATAATGGAGGGTACATGGAAGTTTCCACTATCAGTGCTTTGATGCTGAAAGGTTAAAAATGCTTTTGAAAAAGAAATCAATATCCTAGAAACAATGTGAAGTATCTAACCTGATTCCTGAGCTCCATTATCCGAGGTTCTTTTTCTAAATTCTCCCCTGTATAAAAGAGTTCACCATAAACTATCTGCAATACTGGTCAATAAAGCATTACGCACAATAAGGCAAAGAGCAATCTATAACTTACTAGCAAGCTGCAGAGTTTCATTCCGAAGCTCGTCCTTGACCTGATCAGATATGGGGAAAACAGTAAGAGTAACATGTAACCACAAAAATCAACATAGAGCAGGAAAAAAACATTACATCATGATCATGGTGTCTATAACTGATAAAATAATTGTCTTCTTCCCTTGATATTACCCTACTAACAGCCATAAAACACGAGGATACACAATCCATCACATGCATTAAGTGTATAAGAAGAAGGGCAGAGCATAGAGGGGGTAGAAAGTTCACTCTACTTCATTTTGGCAAGGGAAAAAAAGAAAGCAAGAACACGGTCATTGAACTCTGAACGTGCAAGTATTGTGATACTTGATTTGTATGAGATGGGGTTACCAAAAAGCAATACACTGTTGTGGATAAGATTGTAAGCAACTTGAATTGCTTCAATACATTATGGCATCATGAATGTAAAATCCCACACAGACAGAAAAACTAATTTCAGTCATCTCACACGTAAAACTTGATTCTTTACTACAAGAAATAGAAACTCACTCGATTTTACATTCAATTTGATATATGTATAATTTGGTGGAGCACAGCGCCTTATTTGAGAAAATGAGAATGTATCAGGTCCATCGCGTATGCTTAACAATCAAAGTGAACAAGGTATAGCAAGAAACACAGAGCAGCAAGAAACACAGAGCAGAAAGAAACAAATAATTATACTACTTACTTTACTCTGAGTTTTGACAGCCTCAAGTGAAAGTAAGAAGTTGCGATAAGCATCATCGTCAGAAAGAAGCTTCCGAAGTTCATCAACACTGAATAAATTAACAAGCACGCCAGAAAATCAGAAAGTACAATTGCAAAGAAGAATAAGGAAAAATGCTAAACCTTTCACTTAATTGTTTAATCACCGAAAAATATAAAGTCATCATCTTTCTTTATCAGGAAAATATCTCTCTTTTTTCCTTTTCCAATCCCAAGTACAAAAATTAGATGACCAAGTCATGAAATATTTGCTGACATTCATCTGCTGGCAGAAGATACTGTAAACACAAATTCATATTTCACAGATAAAACTTACTAATACTAACTTATACTAAAAACATGCACGAATGGTGCATTAAAGGATGCCACTAAATGCTCCTTCTACATGCTTTCTCTGATACTAATGATAAAACTAAAATATATATGCTCTTTCATGTACCAGAAAGATGTCTCTGACTGTGAAGCGAACCATGAGGACCTATTTTTGGATGGAAAACATATATCTTGATTAACGCATTTCCTATCAGCCAGCCTCTCTGCATGTATTGCAAGGATTCTGCTACCAAATGACAAAATCTGTACTAAGGTACAGATTTTCCCAATGCACTCCGTTCGTTGCACAATTGGTGCTCATAACGTGCCATAAGATAAGAAAGCAAAACTCTTTCATGGAAGAGCATTCATCAACACTCAAAAAGGTTGATTCCTAAAGCATACTTATCACCACTATAAAGTTTTTAGG